AAGCCCCAGTGGGGTAAAAGGGGGAGGAGGAAAGGCCTGCGAGGGGGCGGCGGGGCCCGCAGGGTGCCCAGGTGGCCGAGAAGAGAGGGGATTCTGCCACTTTACTCTGCTCTGGTGAGACCTCCCCTGGAGTATTGTGTGCAGGTCTGGAGCCCTCAGTATAGGAAGGACATGGACCTGATGGAGAGGGTCCAGAGGAGGGCCACAAGGATGATCAGGGGGATGGAGCACCTCTGCTACGAGGACAGGCTGAGGAAGCTGGGGTTGTTCAGCCTGGAGAAGAGGAGGCTCCGGGGAGACCTAATAGCAGCCTTCCAGTACCTGAAGGGGCTACAGGAAGGCTGGGGAGAGCCTGTTTAGAAAGGCCTGTAGTGACAGGACGAAGCTGGAGGGGAACAGATTTAGACTGGAGATGAGGAGAGGGTTCTTCACTGTGAGGGTGGTGGAGCACTGGAACAGGTTGCCCAGGGAGGTGGTTGAGGCCCCATCCCTGGAGATATTCAAGGAGAGGCTCGACGAGGCCCTGGGCAACCTGGTCTAGTTGGGGGTGTCCCTGCTGACTGCGGGGGGGTCAGACTAGATGGCCTTTGGAGGTCCCTTCCAGCCTGGGCAATTCTATGATTCTATAAGACCAACACCATCCTGGGCTGTGTCAGGAGCAGCGTGGCCAGCAGGAGCAGGGCAGTGATGGTGCCTCTGGACTGGGCTCTGGTGAGGCCTCACCTCAAGGGCTGGGTTCAGTTCTGGGCCCCTCACCACACGAAGGACATTGAGGGGCTGGAGCGTGTCCAGAGGAGAGGCACCAAGCTGGGGAGGGGTCTGGAGAACAAGTCACACGAGGAGAGGCTGAGGGAACTGGGCATGTTGAGTTTGGAGAAGAGGAGGCTGAGGGGAGACCTCATTGCCCTCTACAACTCCAAGTCCTCAGCCAGGCTCCTGCAGGATGATGGTTTTCCTCTGGAAGAACCGAAATCCTATGTGGTCATGTGTGCCTGGAGCAGTAGTGGACATGCGAGGAGGGGATGTGCTGAAGAGTAACTCTTTGGCCCTTAGCAACCAAAAGCCACCAAAAGCTACAGCCTGGAGCAGGACAACACCTTCCCAGCCATCACTGGAGCTGGCTGAGGCCACAGAGTGCCTAGAAAGGGAAACTGGACATGTTGAGTTTGGAGAAGAGGCTGAGGGGAGACCTCATTGCCCTCTCCAGCTCCCTGAAAGGAGGGTGCAGAGAGGTGGGGGTTGGCCTCTTCTCCCAAGGGAATAATGCCAGGAGCAGAGGAAATGGTCTGAAGTTGGGGCAGGGGAGGTGACTTGATGATCTCAAAGGTCCCCTCCAACCATGAAGATTCTGTGAAAACCCATGATGGGATGAGAGGGGGGAAGAAGCCCCAGTGAGTTAAAAGGGTGAGGGCAAAAGGCCTGTGAGATGGTGAGATGGAGGGGGCGGTGTCGTGACACACTGGCCGTGCCCTTTGTTCCCCTCCATGGCATCCCCTCACCTGGCTCTCTCGTTGCCTCCCACAGGGCCCCCCACGCTGCTCGTCCCTGCAGGCCCCCATCATGCTGCTCTCCGGGCACGAAGGAGAGGTGTACTGCTGCAAGTTCCACCCCAACGGCAACACCCTCGCCTCTGCCGGCTTCGACAGGCTCATCCGTGAGTACCAGGTGCCACGGGCACAGCCAGGTCTGGGGCTTGTACCATTTCAGGCCATTGTCCTGAGCACCTTTCCTGCAAAGACAGGCTGAGAGAGCTGGGGTTGTTCAGCCTGGAGAAGAGAAGGCTCTGGGGAGACCTTAGAGCAGCCTCCCAATATCTGAAGGGAGCTCCAGGAGAGCTGGGGAGTGACTCTTTGTCAGGGAGTGCAGGGACAGGACAAGGGGGAACGGTTTTAAACTGGAAGAGGAAGATTTAGATTAGATACCAGAAAGAAATTCTTTGGTGTGAGGGTGGTGAGACACTGGCCCAGGTTGCCCAGAGAAGCTGTGGCTGCCCCATCCCTGGAGGGGTTCAAGGGCAGGTTGGAGGGGGCTTGGAGCAACCTGGTGTGGTGGGAGGTGTCCCTGCCCAGGGCAGGGGGGTTGGAACTTGATGATCTTTAAGGTCTCTTCCAACTCTGACCATTCTGTGGTTGAGCAGTGATGGGGTCTTATCTTGGCCTTGCTGGGTCCTGAGCATGAGGTGCTTCACAAATTGGGGAGGAAGAAGCTTCTTCCAGCTCCTCTGGCAGATATCTGTCCTGCTGGTCCTCAGACGGGACTGGTGACGCACCTTGCTGGTCATAGCCCTGTGTTCCCAGATCCCTCACACAGGTCACCATCAGTCTGTGTGGGACTGCAGCAATCTGCAGAAATGCTCAGCTTGCTGAGTGAAGGTCGTTACTTTTCATTAAAAAGTTCAGTGTGACCTGAAAGCATAAAAGCTGTCTGTCCTCCTGGGACTCACACGATGTTGTACCTTGCTGGGTCCTGAGCATGAGGTGCTTCACAAATTGGGGAGGAAGAAGCTTCTTCCAGCTCCTCTGGCAGATATCTGTCCTGCTGGTCCTCAGACGGGACTGGTGACGCACCTTGCTGGTCATAGCCCTGTGTTCCCAGATCCCTCACACAGGTCACCATCAGTCTGTGTGGGACTGCAGCAATCTGCAGAAATGCTCAGCTTGCTGAGTGAAGGTCGTTACTTTTCATTAAAAAGTTCAGTGTGACCTGAAAGCATAAAAGCTGTCTGTCCTCCTGGGACTCACACGATGCTTCTTTATCGTTACACGTCGTCCCGGACCGGAGGTGACAGTGACGATGGGACGTAGTTCATTTTGTTGACTTCCCAGAGTGTTGCTCCATCCACACAGGGGTTGTTTCCTGGCCTTACCTCTCCCTCCCTTTCCCCCAGTGCTGTGGAACGTCTACGGGGACTGCGATAACTACGCCACGCTGAAGGGACACAGCGGGGCGGTGATGGAGCTGCACTACAACACCGACGGCAGGTAAGGGCTGTGCCATGGCTTCCAGCCTCGGGCCCAGCTCCTTCTGAGGGAGGTGCTTTGTGCTGCCCCGGGTCCCTCAGAGCACCTCAGTGTCCCTGCTCAGTCCTCGTGCAGTGAATCATAGATTCATAGAATTGCCCAGGCCGGAAGGGACCTCCAAAGGCCATCTAGTCCCACCCCCCCGCAGTCAGCAGGGACACCCCCAACTAGACCAGGTTGCGCAAGGCCTCGTTGAGCCTCTCCTTGAATATCTCCAGGGATGGGGCCTCAACCACCTCCCTGGGCAACCTGTTCCAGTGCTCCACCACCCTCACAGTAAAGAACCCTCTCCTACTAATCCTTCTAGTGTGGGTTTCATGGGTAAGGAGTGGTGCCTACTTGAGATTAAGAAAAAGGCTCTGGAGTCACACCATGACCCACCAGCGCCCTTGATTTCAGTCTTGAGGAACTGAAGTTAGTCTCAGTCACCTGGGGACACCGGGGAGGGAAAGAAAGCCAATGAGATATTTGTTAATTTAAAAGTTCCACTGTTACTGCTGAGCTTTCCCTCCTGGGTTCATCCCAGATAGTGTTTGAGGAGGCAGAAAACCAATTTATATGTATCTAGAAATGGGTGTTAATGCGAGTGCCTCCCGAGCACTGCCAGTCAGCCCGCTCTGAAACACAGAATCTTCTAGGTTGGAAGGGACCTTAAAGATCATCTTGTCCAACCGTCAACCTCACTGACAAAAATAGACACCCCCACAACAAACAAGGAGCATCATCACTAACCCAGACCTCCCAGCACCACATCAACCCGGCTTTTGAACACCTCCAGGGATGGTGCCTCAACCACCTCCCTGGGCAGCCCATTCCAAGGGCTGAGAACCCTTTCAGTGAAAAAATTTTTCCTAATATCCAGCCTGAAACACCAGCCCGCTCTGAAACACCGCCTTTGGCGTGGTGTGTTGGGGAGATCCTTCTCCGTGGCGTGTTCCCGCTGAATATCTCCACCTTTGATCCCAGAACCTGAGAGTAAAACGGGTGGGAAGGGAGAAATGTTTCAGAAACACAGAACCTCATGGTGTTTCTTCTCCACAGCATGCTCTTCTCCGCGTCCACAGCCGCCTTTGGCGTGGTGTGTTGGGGAGATCCTTCTCCGTGGCGTGTTCCCGCTGAATATCTCCACCTTTGATCCCAGAACTTGAGAGTAAAACGGGTGGGAAGGGAGAAATGTTTCAGAAACACAGAACCTCATGGTGTTTCTCCTCCACAGCATGCTCTTCTCCGCGTCCACAGACAAAACCGTGGCGGTGTGGGACAGTGAGACTGGGGAGAGAGTGAAGAGGCTGAAGGGCCACACCTCCTTCGTGAACTCCTGTTACCCAGCCAGGAGAGGGCCCCAGCTGGTCTGCACCGGCAGCGACGACGGGACCGTGAAGGTCAGTGTGTTGTGTAAGGAGATAGCCCGGGGTGAAAGTGAGATGGGGTCTTGGAAAGAATTTTTTGGGTCTTCCCATTTAAGTGGGCTAAATTCAGCCTTTCATTGCTCTTCTGATTTCATTGTCATAGAATCATAGAATTGTCCAGGTTGAGACAAAACCGTGGCGGTGTGGGACAGTGAGACTGGGGAGAGAGTGAAGAGGCTGAAGGGCCACACCTCCTTTGTGAACTCCTGTTACCCAGCCAGGAGAGGGCCCCAGCTGGTCTGCACCGGCAGCGACGACGGGACCGTGAAGGTCAGTGTGTTGTGTAAGGAGATAGCCCGGGGTGAAAGTGAGATGGGGTCTTGGAAAGAATTTTTTGGGTCTTCCCATTTAAGGGGGCTAAATTCAGCCTTTCGTTGCTCTTCTGATTTCATTGTCTATTAACTTGGATTTCAGAAATCAAAAATTTTAAATAAAGTTTGACTGCTGCTATTTTTCTGTAATTCTTTGGGGGGATGAAGAAGATTCAACTGCTCAGTTGTACTTTTCCCACTGAACTGTGTTAAGAAAGCAGGAGACAGGCAAGCTGTTAAGGAAATCTCACATACCAGCCCCTTCTTCCCTCACTTCGCTCCCATCCTCTGACCCCACCAGGCTTTTATTATGTTTTTTATAGATGTTTTTTAGATCTCTCCTGAGATCTAAAAGAGGGGATTTCAGGAGCGTGTTCTTAGTCTCTGTGCAGCCTCCTGTAGCTTTATGGTTGCGTATCTCTGGGCAACTTTTACAACTGCTGTGTCCTTTCAGCTGTGGGACATCAGGAAGAAAGCTGCTGTCCAGACCTTCCAGAACACGTACCAGGTCTTGGCTGTGACTTTCAACGACACCAGTGACCAGATTATTGCCCCAATATTATCTGATATTGTCTAATAACTTGGATTTCAGAAATCAAAAATTTTAAATAAAGTTCAACTGCTGCTATTTTTCTGTAACTCTTTGGGGGGATGAAGAAGATTCAACTGCTCAGTTGTACTTTTCCCACTGAACTGTGTTAAGAAAGCAGGAGACAGGCAAGCTGTTAAGGAAATCTCACATACCAGCCCCTTCTTCCCTCGCTTCACTCCCATCCTGTGACCCCACCAGGCTTTTATTATGTTTTTTATAGATGTTTTTTAGATCTCTCCTGAGATCTAAAAGAGGGGATTTCAGGAGCGTGTTCTTAGTCTCTGTGCAGCCTCCTCTAGCTTTATGGTTGCGTATCTCTGGGCAACTTTTACAACTGCTGTGTCCTTTCAGCTGTGGGACATCAGGAAGAAAGCTGCTGTCCAGACCTTCCAGAACACGTACCAGGTCTTGGCTGTGACTTTCAACGACACCAGTGACCAGATCATCTCTGGAGGCATCGACAACGACATTAAGGTGGGATGCCCGCGTGTCCCCGCGTGCCTTTCCGACGGCACACACACCTTTTCCATCCCCTCACACCTCACGTTGGTCCAAGGACAGGTGTGGAAGCCCATTTGTTAATTTTACAGTCACAAGGGCCACGCGGACCCGCCGTGCCCGACCTCGCTGTTGATACGGGGCCAGTAAACTCTGAGGGAGGTGGTCCAGGGCTGTTTGCCATGTGACAGCCTGGGCAGCTCTGGCATTCCTGGCCAGCTGTCACCCGCTGGAGCCCGTGGAATGCTGCCTCTCCTGGCAGCCTCTGCCTCTCACACAGGCTCTGGAGCCATAGATGAGGTAAACTCAAGAAAATGTGGTGACGCATCCACGTTCTCTGCCCTCTGCTCCAGTTTGCGACTTACTTTGTCACCTGCTGGTGTGGAAAGTTCTTATTTGAGAGGGAGCTCGGTGTTTCATTCAGCTGGTGACTGAGGTTCTCCTGAGGGCCGTATGATTCAGTCTCTTCCTGTCCTTTAACCTCGGGCTCCAGCATTACCTCAGGCCTGGGGAGCACGTGCCTGCCAGAGAGCCAGCACTAAGCGTAGTGCTCACGGGAGATCTGTCCCCACTGCCCCTCTTTGGGAGAGGACAGCGTGAAATTTGGGGATTTTTGGCTCTGTCGGTGAAATTTGGGAGCCAGGGGAGCTATAGGCGGGTAGAGAGGGATTCCTGCATCCGTGAGGCTGGTGACATTTAGCTCCTTGGTGGTTGGATGCCTGTGGTAAGAAATCTTCTAAGGGGCTAAATCCATTTTTCCGACTAAACAAATAAAATTCTAGCCTTGTGTTTTAGCCGTTCAGAGCCCACCAACTGAAATTGAAAGCCCCTGTCCTCAGATGACTGATGGCAGTTCCAACAGTCTTGGCTGCCTTTTTGTTAAAAAAAACTGCACTGTTGTGTCTGGCAGGTGTGGGACCTGCGCCAGAACAAGCTCACCTACACCATGCGGGGCCACGCCGACTCGGTGACGGGCCTCAGCCTCAGCTCAGAAGGCTCCTACCTGCTCTCCAACGCGATGGACAACACAGGTATGGAATCAGGGAATTGTCAGAGCTGGGAGGGACCCTCTAGAGGCCATCCAGCCCAACTCCCCTGCCAAAGCAGGGCTGCCCAGAGCACATCACTCAGGAGCATCCAGGCGGGGCTTGAAGATCTCCAGAGAAGGGGACTCCACACCCTCCCTGGGCAGCCTGTTCCAGGGCTCTGCCACCCTCACCCCAAAGAAGTTCTCCTCAGATTGGAGTGGAACTTCCCATGGTCCAGCTTGTGCCCGTTGCCCCTCGTCCTGTCACTGGGAACCACTGAAAAGAGTCCGGCTCCATCCTCCTTCCACCCACCCTTTAGATCCTTGGAAGCATGAAGAAGGTCTCCCCTCAGCCTTCTCTTCTCCAGGCTCAAGAGCCCCAGCTCTCTCAGCCTTTCCTCATCAGGGAGATGCTCCAATCCCTCCATCACCTCTGTTGCCCTACGCTGGACTCTCTCCAGCAGTTCCCAGTCCCTCTTGAACTGGGGAGCCCAAAACTGGACGCAGGATTGTGGCCTCCCCAGTGCAGAGCAGAGGGGGAGAATGACCTCCCTTGACCTACTGGTCACACTTTTCCCTATGAAGCCCAGGATAGGTATGTCCTACCCTATGCCATCAGGTGCCACTCTCTCACCCCAGCTCAGCGTGACGGTTGGGAAGGAACAGCCCAAATAGTTTGACGTAGACAGACAAGAGCCAGACGCGGGGCTGGGCTGGAGGGACGTTGGCTCCGGAGATAAAGCTTGAATTCTTGTTATGGCGGTGAGAGTCACGTCCTTGGCAGGGAGGGAGCAGCTGCACTGGAAGGGTTTGTCACAGCTCCTGAAGGGCAGCGAGGACACGAGGGGTGGCACGTGGGGCAGTTGAGCCCCGTGGGGGCAGTTTGGCCGTTCCCCTGCGGGAGGGGAGGGTCAGCCCTGCTCCAAACCACCCATCTCCTGCCTGGGGGTGCTCAGCGAAGCTGGTCTGATGGGCAACGTGATCAGGGAGTGTGTTAGAATAAAGCACATTGCTCCTGTAAGGAGATGGTGGCTCGTTTGTGTAACAGCTGTTTGGGATTTTCCCCCTCCTGTTGGCAGTGGGCTTGGTGTAATTATAAATTTCTGCATTTTGACCTTTCGTAGTGAAGCTTTCTGCGGGGGAAAGCTGCTGCTTTCCTTCTGCTTCTGAGGAAAGCTAAGCACAGAGAGAAGAAGGAGCATGGCCAGGGCTTTGCTCGTTAGTGACGTTGCCAGAAGCTGACCTTGCCCCCCCTGCCTCTGCCTCTCCAGCTAATTAATTACTGTGAGCTCTCTCTTGCAGTTCGCATCTGGGATGTGCGACCGTTTGCCCCCAAAGAGAGATGTGTAAAGATTTTCCAGGGGAACGTCCATAATTTTGAGAAGGTGAGCGTGCTGCAGACTGAAACATGATTGTTTGTAAAATGCTGCTGCTATTAACTTTTCTGTAAATTGTTTTTTAAGTTCAAGTTTAAGCCAGGAAGGCTTTAATAAGAATTCAAAGAAAGATTAATGCACAAAGTGGGATTCCAATTAAAGCCGCAGTAACAAGATTTCTTTGCTCGGTTCAGCTATAATTAGCTGTAAATTAAGTATTTTCTACATTTACTATCTACTTTGTGTAGAATAACAAGGCGCTGGATGTTTCCAGCAATAAAATAAAATCTGTAATTACCATCTCCACTTCTGAAGGGAGATCATTAAAGCGGTGCTTATGATATTTAAAGTCTCATGGTGATTTTAATTCAAGTGGAAGGGAAAAACTAAATCTTTCCTTGGAAATAGATCTGTGCGTATTCTTTTATTTTAGAATCTTCTGAGGTGCTCTTGGTCCCCGGATGGGAGTAAAATCGCGGGGGGATCGGCCGACAGGTGAGTTCTGGCTGCGTTTCTCTGTGCAATCCACCCCAAAGGGTTCTGGGAGTGTGCTCCCTCCTGACATGAGCTGGATCACGTCCAGAATGAAGACTCCAGAGTTGTGTGGGGAGGTGTAAAGACCCAAACATCCCCCCTTCATTCGCATCCTGGGCTGCATCAAAAGCTGCGTTGCCAGCAGGTCCAGAGAGGGGATTCTGCCACTTTACTCTGCTCTGGTGAGACCTCACCTGGAGTATTGTGTGCAGGTCTGGAGCCCTCAATACAAGAAGGACATGGACCTGATGGAGAGGGTCCAGAGGAGGGCCACAAGGATGATCAGGGGGATGGAGCACCTCTGCTCCGAGGACAGGCTGAGGGAGCTGGGGTTGTTCAGCCTGGAGAAGAGGAGGCTCCGGGGAGACCTTAGAGCAGCCTTCCAGTACCTGAGGGGGCTACAGGAAGGCTGGGGAGAGCCTGTTTAGAAAGGCCTGCAGTGACAGGACGAGGGGCAATGGCTTCAAGCTGGAGGGGAACAGATTTAGACTGGAGATGAGGAGAGGGTTCTTCACTGTGAGGGTGGTGGAGCACTGGAACAGGTTGCCCAGGGAGGTGGTTGAGGCCCCTTCCCTGGAGATATTCAAGGAGAGGCTCGACGAGGCCCTGGGCAACCTGGTCTAGTTGGGGGTGTCCCTGCTGACTGCGGGGGGGTCGGACTAGATGGCCTTTGGAGGTCCCTTCCGGCCTGGGCAATTCTATGATTCTATGATTCTATGATTCATTCTCTGCCTTTCCGTTGTGTCAGTGGAGGGAGCACCATATAGTTGTAAAATCTTACTATTATTGTCCAAAGCTGTCTGTGGATGAGCATCACAGCTTATGTTCAACCACCCCTCCCACTCTAGGACCAGCAGGTGACAGGACTGTGGCTGTGGTGGGCTCGGTCCCTGCAGTCACATCAGCAGATGCTGGTGAGAGCCCTTGAGAAGCAGGGGGTCTGGGGAGGTGTGTGTGGTGAGGGGTTATACTTGTAAAGACCACAAATACCAGTTAAATTGCTGCGTGGTGGCTTGGAGGAGACACCAGTGGTGCTACGAGGGTCGTTCTTGAGTCTTACTGTAATTAATGAGTAGGAAGTAGTCAAGAGCTGACTAAATTAGCACATATTGGACTTCTAAATGAGATATTCTATAAGCTAAGGCAACTGAGGAGTAGAAGGGACAGAGGGAGGAAGCCAGCAGAGGGTCCGTGCCAGACCCTGAAGGTCACTGTGAAGGACACCAACCTCTGCTGGAGCAGATCCAGACGCACTCTCGGTGACATGGAGACAGGAATTCCTGCAGGCCGGAGTCCAGGGCATGCAGCAGTAGTAATCAGCAAATTAATGAGTTTCTGATAGAGGATAGGGAGAACTTCAGCTCCCGCCGTCCAGATATAGTGGGGCCAGCTGTCCCAGCAATGCCTGAGACGTGACTCTCCAGTGCTACTGGGCAGTACTGGCACTGGGGGGGCCCCGAGGCTGCGGCTGGTCCCTTCGGTGGCTGGAAGTCTCAGAGCAGTTTCAGGCCAGTCTTTGGCCAGGCCATCAGGTTGGTTCTGCAGGTGCAGATGTAGCTCTGTGCTCTGACAGCAGCTTTGGGGTGCTGCTGGTGGGGAAGGGCACGCAGCCGGAGCAGGTTAGACAAAGCTGCTCAAAGCTTTCTGCTCTTTCTGAGCTTTTAAATTTATTTTAATTTTTTTTGTCAGTATTATCTGCTGGGAAAGCAAAGCAAGATTAAACAAATGTTTCATTTGTCTGAGTACAAAATAGTTCCCCAATGATTACTCTCTCTCTGTGCATTGTGTGGAGTGTGTGTGTATGTTGGAGGGACAATTACCCGAGTACTTTTTTTGCTGTCGAGCCCTTCAGGTTGTAGAAAAATCAACTGCTTCAAGTGCTCACCTGCTTTGAAATACCAAATTAAAAACAGAACAGCAGAGTCCTTTGAGATACAGTTCTTGCCTGCTTAGATAAGCAGTTGTGCTTGAAGAAATACTGCTTTAAGTAACATTCATGACTTAAGTTGCAGGTTTGAATTTTTCCCTTGTATGTGTTTAAAGAAAATAAGCTGAAGGGTAGCACCAGCCTGAACATGAATGGTCCTAACAAAGTGGGTTGGTATCCAGTGTCCTCTCTGTCTTGCCAGCAAGTGGTATAAATAATTCAGTGCTTTTTTTGGGGGGAAAAGAAGCTCAGTTCTATTTCAACCCAAATACAGGATAACTGTAGAAGCAAATCTTGTTCTTCATCCGGTCTGCAAAGCCCTGGCAGATGGAAAGGCAGAGAAGCTGGGGACCCCACTGTTGGTAGTGTTGCTAAACCTGAGAGGGTCCAGCCCTGGTGCTCAGCGCTGGGGCTGCGTGTGGGGCTGCTGGAAGGGCTCTCACCCCCAGAGTGTTTGAGTTTGTGCGGGTGAGACGAGGGGATGCACAATGGCATTTGCAGCGACCTTCCTTTGCAGGGTTGGAGTGCAGGAAATTGATTTTATGTGTGTTTTATGGGCTGTCCCCAGTGCTCTCACCCTCTGCAGTCCCCTGTAAATAGCCGTAGCGATGCCTCTGGGGCATGTGGGCAGCAGAGCTGCCCTTTACACCAAACCCAGCCTGCTCCTGCCCTGCTGCTTCCCTTTTCTGCCCTGGCAGATCTCATTTTAGCTGCCAGTCACCTCCTGAAGAGTGAGGCAGGGTGAGTGTAGTCCAGAACTGAGCCACCGATGGGTTTTGCAGAGCTGTGAACCTTGTGACATGCCATCCTGTGTGTCTGGAAGGGAGGGATGCAGCAGGGTGGGGGGCAGCATCACCTTGCCTGGGTTATAGGACATTGCTCAGGGCTCTTCTCATTTCTTGATATATTAAAAAAAATCCCACTCAGTCGTTCAGGGGCTCACCATAACCTGGGTCAAAGCATCATTCTGCTTCCTGGTGGAGCTTGTGTGCAGCCACCCCTTTGTGCAGACACCCGTGGGGGATGAGCAGTGATCTTGGGTAATTTATAGTGAGGCACCGTTTCCCCCACTCTCTGTGACCATTTCTAAGAGTAATCTGAAAGCTGGTCCATGCCTGGTGCCAGCAGCTTGTTTCTGACCTCCTGCCTGAGGGTTCCTGGTGGCTTCTGGCCCTTCAGCTGGGGTGGGTGCCCAGGCAGGACCCGGCAGCGGCGGGAGCCCGCGGTGAGGCCTGCAGAGCTTCATCAAAGGGCTCAGCACAATCTGATCAGCCCCCTGATAAATGCTGTGGGCTGGGTGATGACTTCAGTGGCACAGCAGGAAGAAATCCATATATAAAGCTGTTGGCTGTGAGGGATTACTCTGTCACAGGGGCTGGGCGAGCACCTGGGCTCCTCCTTGCTCTTTGCCAGCCCAAACCAAGGATTTGGCTGCCAGGCTTTAGGCAGGTATTTGTGTGGCTGAGAACCCCACTCCCAACACTAATTTTCTCCCTTAGCCCACTGCGTTGCTGCTGTTTTGAGGGTCTCTGCAGCCTCAGGCTTTTAAATCCATCTCCAAATCCCATTTCATGAGAGGGGAAGTGGGGCTGCTGTGCTGGGCTTTCGATGTGTTGGTCCTACCTGCTCTGACTGCTCCTCTGGCTCGGGCAGATCAGAGTTTTGCTCCTGAGAAGCTCCTTGTTCATCCTCACACTAAAAGCATCTGTTTCAGTCCAGGGGTTGAACCGCTGCAGGAACCGGCCGTTGGGGTTGGGGGGAGGGGGGGCAGCTGCTTTCCCTTCTCAAATGCCCCTGCTCATAATGACTCTCTTGTAGGTTTGTCTACGTGTGGGACACCACCTCCAGGAGGATTTTGTACAAGCTGCCAGGCCACGCTGGGTCGGTGAACGAACTGGCTTTCCATCCTGAGGAACCCATTAGTAAGTCCCCCCCACCTCAAGTCAGCTGGGGCGATAGTTTCGGGCTGGCTGAAACGGCTAATCCTGTGGAAAACAGCCCCAAAATTCCCTGTGGCCCAGAGCTCTGAGTATCAGAGACAAATTTAGGGGCAGCAGCCTCCTGCCTGCTGCTCCCCCACAGAGGGGAGTTGGGCTGGGGGTGCCCTGGGGTGCTGGGCTGAGTCGGGGGGCTCTGCTGTGTCCTGCCCGGGTGGAGACCTGGGGGGACAACTTGGGGGATAACAGCAGGGTGGCTAGTGATCTGGGCTAGTGGTCACCTGTGGGTGGTCATGAGCCATGGCTTTGCTGCTGAGGGCTTGTCCAAACGTCCCAAGGGCCATACAAAAAGGTTTTGGGGTACCTCAGTTTGGACACCAGGGATATATCCATCGCTGGAGGGGTTCAAGGGCAGGTTGGAGGGGGCTTGGAGCAACCTGGTCTGGTGGGAGGTGTCCCTGCCCAGGGCAGGGGGTGGCATTGGATGGGCTCTAAGGTCCTTTTCCAACCCAAACTATTCAATGATTTGGTGATCAGAGGGGACAATGCCCACCTGGGAGTGTCCCCAGCCTGGGATCTCCTCACTTACCCAAAGTAGGAAGCAAAAGAAGCTCTTGGTGCAGCAGGTTTTGTCCCCGTTGGTGTTTGGCACAGAATCACAGAATGTTCCTGGTTGGAAGGGACCTTTGAGACCATCAAGTCCAACCATAGCACCACCTACTAGTGCTGGGTGAGACGATGCTCGGGGTGGCTTTTTCAGAAGGGCTGTAACCACCGTGCATCAGCAGAGACCAGATTTCCTCTTGTTTTTTTGCCGTGGCAGCCCCACGGGGTGCTCCTTGTTTCTATGGAAACACGTGCCCCGTCGGCCTGGTCACCACCTCTCTGCAGCCAAAAAGTGACAGAGTCAACCCCAAAGTGAAGCCAAGAGCTGGGCTGTGCTGCGGGTGACAGTCTCTGCTGCAGGGCACTGAGTTATGGGTTTGTTCCTTGGTTATTCCTGGGAGCCTGTGCTGGGGGAGCAGAGAGGTCCCTTGTCTCCTCCCGGGCTTGGAGCTGCTCGGTTGGAATTGTGTTCTGCTGAGCTCCCCTTTGTGAATCAATCACTCGCCTTAAAATGAAAATTAAAAACCCATCCAGGCGTTGCACCCGAGTTACACAATTGATTTCTGGCAATGTTAACCTTGTAAATCTCTGCACCCTCTCCATCTGCTCGGGAGGGTGCTGGGGGGCTGACACACAGCGAGGTGCTGGACACCGGGCTGAGAGTTCACTTAAAAACCCCTCAAACCTCCCCTGGACTCAAGTGACACCCTTGGCAGTGTCGAGAGCAGGGCATTCTTTTGACACTTGTGTCTTGAATCCCCCGAAGAGCCTTTTCTGAGCGGCGGTGGCTCGTTGTAGGTGGGTGCCAGCTGCATTTTGCCTGTTCTGGTGAAATTATGAGGTGGTTTCCCGGGCAGGCTGTGCCCTCTAGCGGCACAGAGTCCCGTGGCTGCGAGATCAACGCTCCTTCCATGAAATAAATCACAGAATCACAGGATCTTCTAGGTTGGAAGGGACCTTCAAGATCATCTTGTCCAACCGTCAACCTCACTGACAAAAATAGACACCCACACAACAAACAAGGAGCATCATCACTAAACCAGACCTCCCAGATGCTCGAGAGCATTAACAGCCCCTTCATACACCTCTCCAGAGAAGGGTGACAAAGATAGTGAGGGGTCTGGAGAATAAGTCTTATGAGGAGAGGCTGAGGGAACTGGGGGTGTTCAGCCTGGAGAAGAGGAGGCTGAGGGGAGCCCTTATTGCTCTCTACAACTCCCTGAAAGGAGGGTGTAGAGAGGTGGGGGTCGGTCTCTTCTCTCAAGTCACAGGCGACAGGACGAGAGGAAATGGCCTCAAGTTGCCCCAGGGGAGGTTCAGGCTGGATATTAGGAAAATTTTTTTCACTGAAAGGGTTCTCAGCCCTTGGAATGGGCTGCCCAGGGAGGGGGTTGAGGCCCCATCCCTGGAGGTGTTCAAAAGCCGGGTTGATGTAGTGCTGGGAGGTCTGGTTTAGTGATGATGCTCCTTGTTTGTTGTGTGGGTGTCTATTTTTGTCAGTGAGGTTGACGGTTGGACAAGATGATCTTTAAGGTCCCTTCCAACCTAGAAGATTCTGTGATTCTGTGACATGTGGAGCCGTCGCCTCGGGACCGGGGAAGGGCAGCCACGACGCGCAGCGCCCCGTTAGGTGTCAGAGTCCATCGTTCCATGAAGTGTTTTTGGGGGGAGCAAAATGAAATTTGGCTTTCTGGCCGGCTTACAGCAAGCGAAATGAGTGGTTTGATTCAAATGCTGGGTCTTAGTAGAGGTCTCAAACTGCTCATTTTCATATCCCTCCCTTTCCCCCCTCTCTCTCTCGCAGTCCTCTCCGCGTCCAGCGACAAAAGACTGTACATGGGGGAGATCCAGTGAAGCCGACGAGGAAATGGTGGGATTCCTGCCCTGGCAAAATCCTCAGTTTGCAGAATCTGGTCTGACTTGTTCCTCAGCGGTGCCAGCCCCACACTGGGGAAGCCTTGAAGCAGGGGGCCGAGCCCAGCCGCCCTCCCGCAGGCTGCGACGCCTGCGCCCTCTCACTCTGTAGCTTTTCCCTGCCCACCCCCCCCTTTCTCTGGGGAGGAAGGAAAATTTGGAATTGGAAAGATTTGAATTTTGGCTGTGCCGCCGATTACTAAACCCTTGCCCGGATCGCTTGAAATTGGTAACATTTGTCAAAATTCCACATGTGACTTGTATATTCCCCGTCGAGTTTCTCTGGTTGGTTTTTTGTTGGTTTTTTTCTTTTTATACGGTCAAAACAGAAATAGATAGCTTTTTACAAGAACTGTGTGGATGGGATTTATTGTTCTGGTTTACTTTTCTATGGTACAATCCTAAATCAAGGCCCTCGCTCGTACAGAACCCGGGGAAACCGTGACGTTCACTTCAGAAGAGCAGCTTTATTTTTTATTCATGGCAATAAAAATGACCAACACTTGAAATAATTACTGGGCTGCCGCTGCCTCCTGTTTTCGTGTTTGGAGTAAAATCCAGGCTCCTGCTATAAATAAATGCAAAGGGAGTGAGGTTTCTGTGACGGGCACGACGTGTTCAGTGCTCGGCAGTGGGGGGGCTGCGTGTCCCCTGTCCCCTGCAGGGTGGCAGGAGGTGGTGGCAGGTCCTCGAGAGGGTTAGATCCATCCTTACAGACCCATGGCCGACTGCTGGGGCAACAAGAGGGTGTCTCAGCTTTGGGGGGAGGTGGGATTTTGGGGGCTGCTGCTGCCAGATCTTGCCCCGCAGCCCTGCCCTCCCTGCGTGGCTGTCTCTGCGACCTGGGTTTTGGGCCAGAAGGGAATGTTCTGCCCTGACTATTTTTAAGTCAAGGGGCAATGGCTTCAAGCTGGAGGGGAACAGATTTAGACTGGAGATGAGGAGAGGGTTCTTCACTGGGAGGGTGGTGGAGCACTGGAACAGGTTGCCCGGGGAGGTGGTTGAGGCCCCTTCCCTGGAGATATTCAAGGAGAGGCTCGACGAGGCCCTGGGCAACCTGGTCTAGTTGGGGGTGTCTCTGATGACTGCGGGGGGGTCGGACTAGATGGCCTTTGGAGGTCCCTTCCGGCCTGGACCATTCTATGATTCTATAAGTCAAGGCTGAAACCACCCCAAACCACCCTTTGGCTCGGGGCTGAGCCTCGGCTGGTCTATATGAGAACACTCCAGGGGCCTCCCCACACCACAGCTCATTGTCTGACATTAATTAACTTGCTATCAAGACTACGTGCTGCATTTCTCTTCGCAATGTGTCCACCTCACCTATTTCATCCTCTTATTTTTTTTTTACCCCCCGATTTGCTGCCCTGGCTCAGGTTATATCGGGCATTTCTCACCTCTTGCTGCCTTTCTGCCCCAAACCAGAGGGCTGGGCTTCAGCCAGGGGGACGGAGCATGGACACACCATGGTCCCACCCCAGCACTGCCGTCCCCTGGGACTGTCCTGTGCAGCCCTGGCCACTGTTTGCCTGGGAGGAACCTGCTGCAGCCACCAGGTATTTAAGAGCTGGAAAATTGGTACAGTTTGTGCAGCGAGGAGGGAAGAAGCCCCCTGAGAGCACGTCTCGCCCTGCTTTTCTGCTGGGGATGGAAGAAAAAAGCTGGAGGATGGTCACACTGCTGGGGTCAGACCAGCTTTTGAGGAAGCAGTGAGACGTGGCTGTGTTCCCCAGGAGGCAAGGTCACTTCTGGGTGTGGGGTGTGTGGCACTGTCCCCAGTCCCCTGGCGTGGTTGTGTCCCGGTACTGTGTCCCCGTGTCAGCAGATGGCTGTGTCCCTCGGGGACACGGGACCTCACTCAGCACCGTGTTCCTCGTGGAGCCCTGGGGCTGGAGCAGGGCTGGTCTCTGCTCCTGGTTCCTGCATCGTCACGCTCAAAGTGACTTTGGGAGCAGAGAGTTGGGGCTGGAGAGGATGGGAAACCACTGACCCCAACCCTGTCCCCTTCGCTGACCCTCTTCATCCAGGGGGGATGGATTCCAGCAGGAGATGGGAGTGCTGGGACTATCGGTGCAGTTTGTGCAGTGAGGAGGGGAGAAGCCCCCTGAGAGCACATCTCACCCTGCTTTTCTGCTGGGGATGGAAGAAAAAAGCTGGAGGATGGTCACACTGCTGGGGTCAGACCAGCTTTTGAGGAAGCAGGGAGATGTGGCTGTGTTCCCCGGGAGGCAAGGTCACTTCTCCTGGGTGTGGAGAGTGTGGCACTGTCCCCAGTCCCCTTCACCTGGCGTGGTTTGTGTCCCAGTGCTGTGTCCCCGTGTCAGCAGATGGCTGTGTCCCTTGGGGACACGGGACCTCACTCATCCCTCGGGGACACGGGACCTCACTCAGCACCGTGTTCCTCGTGGAGCCCTGGGGCTGGAGCAGGGCTGGTCTCTGCTCCTGGTTCCTGCATCGTCACGCTCAAAGTGACTTTGGGAGCAGAGAGTTGGGGCTGGAGAGGATGGGAAACCACTGACCCCAACCCTGTCCCCTTCGCTGACCCTCTTCATCCAGGGGGGATGGATTCCAGCAGGAGATGGGAGTGCTGGGACTCACCAGAGCTCCGGGTTCATCAAATCCAGGGAAAATCAGCTTCACCAGAACGGATCTGGTCCCGGTCTGCTGCCGACATCCTGTCACTCCTCAACTCCCTGAAAGGTTGTAGAGAGGTGGGGGTCGGTCTCTTCTCCCAAGGAACAGGCGATGGGACAAGAGGAAACGGCCTCAAGTTGCCCCAGGGGAGGTTCAGATTGGAGATTGGGAACAATTTTGACATGGAAAGGGTTCTCAGCCATTGGAATGGGCTGCCCAGGGAAGGGGTTGAGGCCCCATCCCTGGAGGTGTTCAAAAGCCGGGTTGATGTAGTGCTGGGAGGGATGGTTTAGTGATGATGCTCCTTGTTTGTTGTGGGGGTGTCTATTTTTGTCAGTTAGGTTGATGGTTGGACAAGATGATCTTTAAGGTCCCTTCCAACCTGGAAGATTCTGTGATTCTGTGATTCTGCAACTCCCAGAGGGAACAGCAGGCAGGACCCCACAGGAATGGCTGCTGCAGCCCTGGGACTCCATGATTGTCCCTGTCCCACCGCCCTCACCGTCCGTCTGTCCCCTGGAGCCAGGCGTGGGGGGTGCTGGTGCAGACATGATGGTGCAGACATGGGAAGACCCGTCGCCAGATGCCAGTGAATGAACGTTTCTGAAGGGAAACAAATCCCCCTCGGGCTGAAGAGCCGGGTGGAGAGAGCTGGGACCAGGGGGGGAAGATTTATTTTTAACTCTGCAGAGTATTAAATAACCTGAACCCTGAAACGCGTGTAAATGAGAGCTGGGATCCAGCTGGGAATGCCAGGGCTCGGGATGGACCTCCCCGGAGCCACCGGCGTAGGAGCCCTACGCCTGGGGACCCACACCGTGTCCCTGTCCCCTCACTGAGGGCTGAGGGCGAGGAGGGTGCTGGATTTGGTGCTTAATTAGACACTCAGAATCCTGGAGGGTTTATGGTTTTATTTCACAGAATCACAGAATAATTGCCTGGGTTGGAAGGGACCTTTGAGATCGTCTGGTCCAACCATCAACCTCACTCTGCCAAAAGATAAAACAAAAAAGACAAGAAAAGCCATCACTAAAGCATGTTCCCAAGCACTAGGTCAACCAGCTTTTGAACACCTCCAGGGATGGGGCCTCCACCCCTGCCCTGGGCAGCCCATTCCAAAGCCTGATAACCCTTTCCATGAAGAAATTGTTCCCAATCTCCAACCTGAACCTCCCCTGGTGCAGCTTGAGGCCATTTCCTCTTGTCCCATGGCCTGTTCCTTGGGAGAAGAGACCGACCCCCCCTGGCTACACCCTCCTTTCAGGGAGTTGGAGAGAGCCAGAAGGTCTCCCCTCAGCCTCCTCTTCTCCAGGCTGAACACCCCCAGCTCCCTCAGCCTCTCCTCACAAGACTTGTGCTCCAGACCCCTCACCAGCTCCCTTGCCCTTCTCTGGACCCGCTCCAGCCCCTCAAGGTCTTTTTTTGTGGTGAGGGGCCCAAAACTGGACCCAGCCCTTGAAGTGGGGCCTCCCCAGTGCCCAGTCCAGGGGAACTGTCACCTCCCGAGTCCTACTCCCCACGCTGCTCCTGACACAGGCCAGGATGCTGTTGGCCTCCTTGGCCACCTGGGCACACTGCTGGCTCCTGTTCAGCCCACAGGCCACCAACACCCCCAGGTCCTTTTCCATGGGGCAGCTCCAGCCACTCTGCCCCCAGCCTGGAGCTGCAGGGGGTTGGTGGGACCCAAGGGCAGGACCCGGCACTTGGCCTTGTTGAACCTCATCCCGTTGGTCTCAGCCCATCCATCCAGCCTGTCCAGATCCCTCTGCAAAGCCTCTCTACCCTCCAGCAGGTCAACACTCCCACCCAACCAGGTGTCACCTGTGAAGCTCCTGAGGGTGCACTCCATCCCCTCGTCCAGACCATTGATGATGTTACAGAGAACGGGTCCCAGTAACCCAGCCCTGTGGGACACCACTTGTGACCGAGGTGTCACCTGTGAAGCTCCTGAGGGTGCACTCCATCCCCTCGTCCAGACCATTGATGATGTTACAGAGAACGGGTCCCAGTAACCCAGCCCTGTGGGACACCACTTGTGACCGGCCACCAACTGGATTTATAGAATCATAGAATGGTTTGGGTTGGAAGGGACCTCAAAGATCATCGAGTTCCAACCCCCCTGCCCTGGGCAGGGACACCTCCCACTAGAGCAGGTTGCTCAAGGCCCCATCCAGCCTGGCCTTGAACCCCTCCAGGGATGGGGCAGCCACAACTTCCCTGGGCAACCTCCATTCCCCACCACTCTCTGGGCCCGGCCTCCAGCCAGAGAGTCATCTAATCACAGAAGAAGATCCCAGTCCTTCCAGGTGGCAGTTTCTCCAGGAGGATCCCGTGGGACACTGCATGGAAGGCCTCACTGAAGGCCAGGCCAACACTCCAACAGCCTCTCCTCATCCACCGAGCGGGTCGCTTGTCCCAGAAGGAGATAATTGAATGTCCACCCAAGTGTCAGAGGAAGGGGGGACTCTGGGGGCTGAGCCAGCGGTGCCAGGTGATGACCCGGCAGTTTCCGTGTTTAAAATAAGAAAAAATAGGCTCTTTTTTTTTTGTTTTTCCCTGATTCCCAACAGGGGAACCCGCAGGGAGAGCTCTGTCCCGGCCCCGGTGGGCGGCTGCGGAGCCGTGACCCAGATCGGGGGAATGATCCGGATTAACGGGCAATCCCCGACCCCGGGGGCAGGGAGCCCGGCGGGGGGGGGGGGGGGGG